ACTTGAGAGGCAGAGGCAGGCAGAACTTGGAGTTTGAGGTCAACCTGGTCTACAAAGTGAGTGAGTGCTAGGAAAGGATACAAAGCTATACAGAGAAAGAGAGAGGGGGGCGGGTAGAGAGAGAGAGAGAGGGGTAGAGAGAGAGAGAGAGAGGTAGAGAAAGTATTAACCCTAATCCATCCAAGTTACATTAAAGTGTTGAGGTTTGGCTGATGAGAATTTGATGTACATTCTGTGTGCAAATCCGTGGAGTATCATCCAGAGGACTAATGGTGCAACGATCCCTGGAAGCTCATGCACACCGCAGCACACAGCTGACTTCTTTATTTACTCTTCCACACAGGCAGGGGATTTTAGTTTTCTCTCTGGACCACCTTACACCTCAAACTGCTTCTGTTTGGTCTTCTTTTCTCAATATCCCCTGGAATTCTGTGAAAAAAGATTAAATTCCCCAGAGTTTGCAATTGTCTTCAAGGTTAAAGTTTAATTCTGCTGCTCTCTTTGGTTCCTTACTTTTATTGACATTATTTTCTATATCAGGTTCCAGCTTGTACTTAAGATCTTGGAAAGAATTTTAAATACAGTTTGCTTCACTCCTAGGTTTTTTTTTTCTGAAAAAGTTTTGTGTAATAAAACATTGTAATGGAGGTTTTAGCTCATACTTTGGAGATTCATTCAGAACATAGAAGTTACTACATGAATGAAAGCATCAAGATTCAACTCATAATGAATTAGTGGGGGTTACTTCTTTATAATATGGTAATGTAGTCTACAGAACAAATGACAGAGAGAAGTTAGAGTATTTCTGCTGCCTTTCCAATAATGCTGAGTATGCCCTCAACTCAGAAAGGGAATACTTAAAATACAGAAAGAGCATAAAAATAAAGGACCAAAATTATTATATTCAAATAAAATTGAAGACATTTAGAAGAATATCAGAAATCTTGAAGAGAGATGAGTCTCTTAATGAAGACCACACTCAGCTAATAAGTAGAAACTATTGAAAACCATAAAGAATATGCTAAAAGACCAGCCTCTGGGTAAAGGATTTCATTTAATGTTGGAAGTGTATTGCAGGAGTAAAGCAGAGGAGTTAAAGACAGTTTACGATTAACTGATAGAGGAAATTTAAATAGAGTATATTTACTTAAATATCACTATTAATTGAATAATATAAACATAGATAAACTTTAAGATTTTCAAGCATGAAAAATATGATCATGTTGAAATATTAATGCTATTAATAATAAGGCGCAAGTTTAGTTTCTTTCTGGCTTTTTGAATCTATACTATCTCTAAAGCTAATAAACAGCTAACATATGAATGTAATGTAAATATTAGGAAGTGTAACATCTACATATAATTTTGACATATGAAACATGTATGAAATTTATGCATGCATACTAATTTATATTTTGAAAATCACATACCAATAATTTACTTGTAGCAAAAAGTTTGGCATCTTGAGATTAAAACTCACAAAAAATTTTGAAAAATTATTTAAACATGCATGTTGACTCCGTGAAGACAGAATCCTGTGTTCACCATTTATTGAGATCCTGAGTACTTGAGAAAGAAGTTTGGATAGTTTGAAAATTTACTGAAGAAAGGTAAACAAATTAAAAGATAACAGATTTTATTAATTCATCACTACATACATATAGCCCACTGTCTAAATTGACAATACTTTATGGATTTACTTAAAGACATCTATTAAGAAATGACATTCAAGTAAATCAATGCGAGTCACTATGCTATTTAAGGTATATAAGCTTAATGATACCTTCTTGTAAACTTAAGATAAAAATGAAAACATTTAATGTAATTTAGATACACATACTCAAAGTGAACAAAAACTAACCATGATTTAATGTTGACTCTTCTTTCTTGCAACTTTCTTCTCTCACATTTTATCACATGGCTCTAAGATTAAAATCTCAAATTTATTTTTACAGCAAAGAATAACACTTATAAAAATCCAGGTATAAGTTTAACATATAACTTAATAACTGTAAATTAATAGAATATTATGGATACATGAAGCAATGCAAAATATATACACCAATATGGAAAGGTATATCTCTGTTTTAGAACCCTCTACACTGTACACTGTACTCTAAAATTATCTAGTAAAGTTCTCTTAAAAAGAATACAGAGACATTAAAAAAATCAAAGAAAGGTTAAAAGTAATATGACAAGAACAGATTTATCAAACAAATATTAAACAGAAAATAGCTGTGGTAAAATTAGTATCAGGAAGAATAAAGGAGAAAGCAGATAAGAAGTACTGGTTTGCAGAAGACTAGTTTCCTACTGATGAAAAGATAAAAACCCACAAAAAGTCTGCAATCATCATGGACTTTTAGCTGACAAATTACATTTAATGAGTGTTGTATAAAGCAAAATCCATTAGAAGTAAAGAAGAAATTGATAAAACCACGATTGTCATCGAAGATTTTAGCACACCATAGCTGATCCATGGCAGCTAAACCTAAAAAGGCACACCATTTCCAATGAGATAATAAATAACGTTACAATAACTCCAAATGTTTCCTTTTCACACAAGCCTCCTGAGAAGAGTTTGTTGGGTCAGTGCCACACTAAGCATGAAGCTGCAGTGATAAAGTGAGACTAGAGCTATTGGCATCTCCTCTGTTTCCTTGTCCTTACCAGGAGCGGAAAGTGAGTAATCCTACAAAGGAATGCTATGATAGCTGTGATAGTGCCTACTTGGCTCATGACGCTCACTTCTTTAAAAATTACCTCTACAAATGTCAAGCCCCCCAGTTGCTCAGACAAACAGATTGACTGTTAGTTAACTGCTTTATAACTGGGACTGAAAGTTGAACAAATGTTCCACGTGTCCCTATTGATAAGATATGTAAAGTCAGGAGCACACATTCGTACCTCTTCTTCGCCCAGTTGTGAATCTAGACAGATAATGCTGATCCGCAGTTTATTGCATGGGCTTTAAAGTCCAACTCCTGAGTTCTATTCAGATTCCAACATTTGATTGTGTGTGTGAATACATACACACATATAGATTTTTTCACATACCACATACATGTATTCAAGCACGTAGATATATACACACACATACATGAACACCCACATGCATAGATAGATAGATAGATAGATAGATAGATAGATAGATAGATAGATAGATAGATAGATAGATGATAGATAGATAGATAGATAGATAGAGACCCTATTTGACTTTCAATATTTCTCTTCTTAACTCATTAGCCATGTTAATTTTCCTCCTTTTTTAAGTCATTATAGGGGGGGATAGAGGGCTAAGCATTTAAAAGCATGTACTGGTCTTCGAGTGGTCATGAATTCAGTTCATAGCACCCCAGTCAGGGAATTCACAATGACCTATAACTCAATGTTAGGCAATTCCCACATACTGTTCGGGCATGAATTGGCACCTGCACTCATGTGTACATACCCCTACACAGACACAGACTTAAACACATACACATAATTAAAAATAAAAATAAATTTGAAATCTTTATGAAAAGAAATAATTTAAAGTAAATATAATTAAAATAATTAAATATGCTTTCATATATTTCTTCTTGAATATCATAGTGTACACAATTTCAATCAAACAAAAAAGTGTTTGTACAGTCATTTTCATTTGGTAGTGAATAAATTATGAACTGTACTTGAAATTCATTTTATTTTTGCGAAGGTAGTTCTAATTTTCTACCCAAACTCTATAAATATTATTTAGATGTTTTACAATAGAATGCTTTTATTTAAGCAAGTGTGAGCTTCAATAACTCCATTGTTCTCACTAAAGATCGTAATTCTTTGTCATGACCAAATCCATAACCTTCCACTCCTTTGGTTCTATCTACATTGATAGGATTCTCAGGCTCCTCATGAACTTTCTTTTTAGTTTACCTAAGTAATCTGCAGGTCTTTGATTCTGGCTGTTAGCAATGTGTTTATGTTTTCAATGTATACAGATAAATAGATGATAGATAGATAGATAGATAGATAGATAGATAGATAGATAGATGATAGATCTTACATTATTTGTGAATATGTGAGAATGTGTGGTGTATGGATGTGTGCCAAAGGTTTGGAAGTATTACATATAAATTACATATAAATGTAATAATTAGTAACTGCACATTCTTCCACTTGGCAGTCCTAGCGAACACCAAGCGGTGTTCTGTTCTTTTGGATTTATCTGTTCTGTATATTTTAAATAAATGCAGCCAAATAAAATGAGGCCTTTGTATGGCTTGTTTCATTATGCATGGAAGATTTATGATTCATCCATGATGGAGCATATATCAATAATTTCTATGTTCAGAAACAGGGACTTACCTTTCAACTCTAGGAGGCAACTAAATGTAATAACAATAGGCTGTATTTGTTTTGGGAGTTTTCTGGACTCTCTTGGATAAGAACACTGTTACTGGATTTGTATTAGACAGTCTATGGTGCTTGGGAACAGTATTGGTTATCCCAAGTGACTTGACTTCATTTAACCTATATATGTATAGGTAAACACGTACATTTATATGCATTGAATATAATTTGGGGCAAATAACATATAGTATGATTCCTTGTGGCTTTTTCAAACCCTTTAGTGTTGTTTTCCCACAGCCCCCTCTCCTTCTATATTGTTCTATCTTCCCCCTCCTCAATCAGAGCCCTCCAATGTTTCCATCATTTTTTTCTTTCATATCAATTATTTCCTGTTATTCCCCGCTCTAGCACCATCCATGAAACCTTTTTCTTTTTTTGTCTTCTGTAGTTATTCCAGGCTGTATATTCATAACGGAAGACTTGGGACTAGGAACCACAGCAAAGAGAGAATATGTGATGCTTATCTTTCTTTGTCTAAGTGACCTCACTAAATACAACATTTTCTTGTTTTATCTATTTTACTACAAGTTTCACAACTTTATTTTTCTTTACAGCAGAATAGTATTCCACAGTTTATATGTGTCATATTTTCATTATCTTTTTATTTATAGAAGGACACATGAACTTCATAAAAAGAACTCATGGAATTGAGCAGGATGTGACCTGAAAGCCTTCCCTCTGAGGACCAGCTTTTACAGTAGTGGAAACTGCATTGCAAGATTTCAAGGGAGGAAAGAAGCAATAGTATTACCCAGCTGTGAAGTCTATGAACCACAACAATAATGCCCAGCATGGCAAGCTGTACCTAAAAGTGCAATAATGGCATTGATAGCTTGAAAATAGCCAACAGCTGTTTAATAGCACATACTACCTGCTCAACAGGAGAGAAATTGTGCCTGGTACTGGAAACTTAATCAAATACCCAGTACTAGTGATTTCATGGATCATAGAGGAGAATCTACCACTATCAGTTTACTAAACCAGCATGATTCTTAACTTCATACTAAATATTTATCCTTATATCCACAGGTATATTTCCCAACCCTCATGAAAAAAAATGTTTCTCTCTGCAACAGATTGAGACAATCACAAAACAACAACAATAAATCCTCCACTACTGTTCAAAATATAGAGAAAATGGATTATGGGGAACCCATCACCAGGGGATACAACTAGAAACCAATCCCTATAGCTAAGAGTCAGAAGACTAGGAAATCTGTAAGAGGGTATCTCCTAGAAATGCCAGGGAAACTCTATCAGTAAGCGCTCAAAATTATGGCTGCCTAAACAATGACTGAACAAGGACAGCATGGATATACATCATGGATATTCAAACATGGAAGGGGAAAAGCTAACAGAGACCTACCCCATGAGCTACAGGCAGCTAAAAGGCACTGAAAGTAGAAGGAGTAGTCTTCCCACTTTGAGGAATATTTGAGTTGGTTATCCAAAACCAAGTTTCAGTCCTGAAATCATAACATTCAACATTAAATGGACTCAGAAGGGTATACCAATATATCTATGCACATATATATATATAGTATGTACATAGATTGCATATATTTGTATGTATGTATAATAAATAAGAGAAGACCATGAGTTTGAAAGGGGTTGGGGCATAAAAATTCTAGTAAGGAAAGGGAACAGAGAGAAATAATATATACAAATATATATGAATATACATATTTGAAATTGTAATTTAATTACAACATTTCTTCCGTCCCTTTCTGTTGACAGAGACTGCTCTTTTGTTCCACACCACCCAGACCTGAAATAATTACATTGAAACCATAACTGCTTGGCCAATAGCTTAGGCTTATTATTTACTAACTCTTATATCTTAAATTAACCAATATCTATTAATCTATGTTTCACCACATGATTGTGACCTACCAGTAAGATTCCAACCTGTGCCTGGTCTCCTTCAGCAGCTACATGAGTCTCTTTGACTCCACCCACTCTCTCTCTCTCCAATTCCATTTAGATTTTCTGCCTGGCTTTACTCTGTTAATCCTTGGCAGAAAACAGTTTCTTCTTTATTAAGAAATGGCAATAAAACATATTCACAGCATAAAGAGGGGAATCCTAAATTACCTTTCCTCTTCCAACATACCTCTTTTGGAATGTTTTCTCATCAATTATTGTTGCATGCATGCACTTTTTCCTAAATATGAACTGTTGAGTCAATATAATGTTACTTGTATGTATATTTTCAGAAATGACCATTTGGCACTGAACAATATATTAGTGTGCTTTTCCCTGGAGTACACCACCTTTTCACTCTCAATTTTACTCAGTTGCCTGTGATTCTTTGTGTATGGTTGTGGCCTCACAGGCTTTTCCCTGTCCATTTTGACATATTTGTTGATGTCATCCCTGCTCTGCTATTGGGCAGTCATGCTGGTGAGACCTTATAGTTATAGCTTCTAATGTTACTATGAGACACAATCTCATAGCAAATTTTATAAAAATGTTCGTTATGAAACTGTTAAAAGATAAATTTTATCTTATGATTTATTAACACCCAGGAATATTATGTGAATACACATTTTTTCTTTGTGTGTTTATCAGTAGATGGACATTTGGCTAATTTTCATTTCTGTCTATTATGACTAATACCCTAATAAACTCTCATGCATAAGTTTTTGCTTGAATACATGCTTGCAATGCGCTTGACTAAACATCTGTGAGTAGTGTTGTTCCCCTGTAAAGCAACGCTCATCTAATATTGTCAAGAACTGTCACACCATTTTTCAGACTGGTTGTAGGATCTTAATTTGCTTAACATTTCATTGACTTCTAAATTCTGCAGATTGTTGCGCTATTTTCCTCATATCCAGATAGTTAGGCAAAAGTAAAGGGTTTCCCTTGGCATTGGCCTAATAGCTGCTGATGTTAAACATTTTTCATGTGATTATTGACTAAATGTATGCCTTCCCTGAAACTCTACTTTAGTCTTTGACTAAGTTTTAAATTAAGTGATTTGGTTTTTCTTGTTGAGTTAAAAGAATTCTTTTATATAATGTGGATAATCAATTCTTTCATTTACAATTGTTCAAATATTTTCCTACATTGAATGGTGGCCTTTTCACTTGATTAGTATTGTTCATTTATGAAAAAAGGTGGTTATTGTAATGAAGTACAATATATGCATTTTATAGTGTGTATATGTTGTGGGGTTTTTTTTGTTGTTGTTGCTATTGTCTCATTTTTGTAAGTTCTACTTCTCAAACTAAAATCATGAAGATTTTCTCCAGTAAGTTTTACAAATACAGCTATTGAACGATTTAGAATTAAGTTTTTCATGTGACAGGATGTAAGGGTCCAAAGGCATTATGTCACCATGGGGGTCCAGTTGTACCCAAACCATTGAATGAACAGACTCTTTTTTCATAATGAATAATCTTAAAGACTTATTTTGAAAATTAATGAATTATTGAATTCTAGCCTTCTTTCTGATCTTTCGATTATTCCATTGATCCATGCAATAGTACACTGTTCTGGTTTGAGAATACTCCTAAAGTAGATATGACCCTGTTAAAGGAGGTGTATCACTGGGACCAGGCTTTGAGGTTTAAAAATGTCCATGCCATTGCCATTTCTCTCTCTTTGCTTGCTCATGGCTTGCTCCTGCCATGACGGTCATGGACTCACCCACTGAAACTGGAAGACTCCAACAGAGTCAGTTTTCTCTATGGCACAGGTGCCTTGGTCTTAGTGTTATACAGAAAAAAGATATGTCACAAAGACATCTGCGTTGTTTTAGTACATTTTTAATTACTGCACATATACAGCAAGATTTAATATCAGATGGTAATGTTTGTCCCCAATTCAATTTTTCATCTCAATATTCTTCTTGATAGAATAATTGAAATTCAGTATAAACCTTGATCAGTTTTTCCATATCTTTAAAAGAACAGCTGAAATTTTGATAGGCATTAAAGTTATTTTAGTATCGGTGATCTTGATAAACAAATGATGGCTTTCCTTTCCTTGAAGACTTATTTTTTTTCATTTTGATTTTATTATAAATTACAGTTGCTTATTTTATTTACAGATTGCTCCTTGATAATCCACAGAAATATAAAAAAACTTTCATAATAAATTTATACCCTGCAACTTTATTTGATTTATAGATCCAAATTTTTAATTTTTACTTTTATTGATTCTTTATGGATTTTGACATCATGAATTTTTGATCCCACTTATTTTTCCATCTCCTTAAATCTGTCTTCTGCCCTTGCAATCCCCCACTAAATCAAAACCAAATTTAAAAAAAATCAAACAAAACAAAACAAAAAGGAGAAAAAGATTCTTGTTTTTAGAACTGTAGTGTTTTCCATTGAGAGGCATTTACCCTTTAGTTCATTCATCTTTCTTTGCAAGTGTTCATTGCCCTGAGTCGTTCTTCTGACTAAAGGTCCCTGGTTTCTTCTATCCCACCAATAATGGACTTTCATTGGGCTCCTCTTTGGTATCCTGTTGTCCTTTATCATGGAGATCCTGCTGTTTTATAGGTTTGTTCCCTTCGCATGTTCCAACAATTCGTAAGTGGAGTTGATATTCGGGTGGGCCAACTCATAGCCGTGTCAGTTCCCAGAACTTCCTCATCTTCACTACCTGGGTGAGCTCGCCAACACTGCCTTGTTCAGCTCACTTAGTGCAGTTTACACCAAGGAGCAGGACGGTTCTTCTGCTCTTGGGCTCTCAGATCCGGGTCCCCTCACTCGTGTCACTTCACCAGCTTTGCTGTTTGGCCTAGACAAGGTATAAGGTCTTCTCTCCGGATTGTTGTAAGGGGTAAGCGTGGGCAGGCATCTCACTGATGCCTGGTAACAGGGTCAGTTCTAGTGTGCTGCCCAGGTGGGGTACAGGCCCGCTTTCCTGTGTGTTGCAGCTGGTGTGAGGCAGGGCTAATTTGCCTCACTTTCATGACCCCAGGGCCAGCTCTCTGGCCTGGCATAGATAGCAAGGAACAGAGTGGGAAAGCATATTTCCCTCACCCATGCCACTGTGTGGCAAAGGAAGAGGTTAGATCAGCTCTGTTCTCTGTTCTCTTTTCTCAAACCCTCAGGGCTGGTTTACCCATGTCCTCTACTGGTCAATATGGTCCCTGGACACTGAGGTGGTCCCAGGTGGCTGGCTGGATCCTGAGCATCACAGAGCCCTCCGTGGCAACTGGAGCCATGAACACCACCACAGTCCCCACCTCCACAGACTTAATCATGGCCCTAGGCAGTGGACTATACCTGGATGCCTCTCTATGGTTCTTAAAGACCCTCACCCACTGGGTGCAGGCCCAAGAGGGAGAAGCCCTGCAACTCAATTAACCAGTCCAGCAGATGCAAGAAACAAGAGGATTTATTAACGATCACAGATGTCTCTAGTCTCCGAAGAGGTAGAGCACCCCGAACAGCAATTCCAGCAACTTTTTATAGGCAAAAAACATAACATTAAAATAATGGGTATAAGGTACAGAATTATTGGATACAACATTTAACATTTTGGGTCAGTTTAGCATTTTGGGTCAGTTTTAGGCCATAGCTGTTTGTTTCTTCTATTTCCCAGAAATACCATAAAACCACTAAACCCTGTCCTGGAAAGTCCCCAAGCCCTATCATGGGTGCTAGGTGTTTCCTGGCAGGTGGGTGGGGCAGGGTACTGTGGTCAGGGTGCATGTGGCAGTCAGGGTTATTTTGCAAGTTTTGTACTTTTCCACTGCTGCTTGTCATCCACCTAGGGCATATGCTTAAAAGCAGTAGCAAACAGGCTTTTTGAGTTGGGGTCTTACAGTTCCAAGTGTCAGTACCTGCCACCCAGATCAGCATGGCCCTGGAGCAGCACAATCCTTGATTACCAACATGGTCCAAGGTGACCAACCAGACCACAGCCATCAACATGGCCCTTGGTGATAGCAGGAGTTCAAAGCATTAACTCAGACTCTGGCTGCTGCAGGACCACTGACCCAAATAGGGGCCTTAGCAGCAGTCCTGGCCCAGATGACATTATGTGTTGTAGGAGGGCTGCTTGTTTGCTCCCAGCTGCTCAGCCCCAAAATTACCATACTGAAACTATATTATTTGTAATACTGTTTGGTCAATAGCTTAAGTGCATTTCTGGCTAACTCTTACATCCTAAACAAACCCTAAACTTCATTAATCTGTATATCACCACGTGGCTGTGGCTTAATGGCAAATTTTCGCATGTGTATGGCGGGTGGCTCCATGGTTCCCCTTGATTCTGCCTTCTTACTCTCAGCATTTTGTTAGCTTTCCCTGCCTAGCTCTGTTCTGACCTGCTCTGCTATAGGCTCAAAGCAGTTTCTTTATTAATCAGTGGTATTCACAGCATACAGAGAGGTAGCCGACATTAATTATGGTGAAGGTGACAATGCATACCACTCAGATCAGGTTGTCCCTGATAACAGCATGACCCTTGAATGTCCTCACAGTCACAGGTTGCAACCCAGACTCTCAGGCATCTTCTTGGCCTTTTGTGACCACATAGGTCAGAGACATTAGTACAGACTCTGGTTATGGTAGAACCACAGTCCCAGACATGGTCCTAGGCAGCATCCTGGGTCCTGACATTACCATGTTCCCAGCTGGCAACCCAGATTTCTGGTATCCACATGGTCTGTGATTG